TACAATGTCCCTATATTTGGCCCCGGACCTCCGGAGCTATGGATAACAATTCTTCCGATGTCAACGAGATGTTTGGAGTCTTCAGAGCGCGTTCGAAAACCAGGTCAGAGATACGGGGATTGTAGACGGGGGCCTGAGTACGGTACGCTGGCTCCTTGGCTTTGGACGCTTCGGCCGCCTGTGCTGGATCCTGTTCAGCGTTCCGCTGGACTGCCTGCCTAGGCCGGTTGACGTCTCTTGCACCAGCGAATGGATGGATTGGTCCTTCCGGCAGATGTGGTGGAGTCTCGCGATTGGCTGATGGCCGCGCTGCCTCGGTCACTGGCTGCTCACGGACCGACTGACTCTTAGCCTTGGAGTGGGTAGATCCGGGCGGACCAGCGCTAGATTCTTTGGACGGGTTGGTAGGCCTATTTGCTGGAGGAATGTAGACTCCGTCAAAGACTTGCTTCCCCTTTCCGCGTAGCGCGAATAGCTCCCGCTCTAAAGCATCAATACGCTCCTGCTGGTCTAGATGAAACATATCCGTGGTGTGTGAAGCCACCGGAGCTCGGACCTCTTCCCATAGCATCGTGTCCAGTAGGTGTACGCTGGTTTGCCCTGGATTTTGACGGTGCCATTCTAAAATTCGGTCCCTCATCGTGGCTCCTGGTAGCGCTCTCGAGACCATCGCCCCGCTAGGTAGGACGACTTGTCCTTCGGCATTTCGTTTACACCGACCGGCTCTAATGTCCTCCTCAACCTTGGGACACCTTCGGATCGAATGGTCTCCTTCTCCGCAATAAAGACAATTATAATTGGTCGCGGCAGGTCGGGTAGACGTTGCTGGAGCCAAACCAGCGTTCTGCTGAACCGCAGCAACCAGAGCCTGGCTGATGGACTTTGTAATGACCTCTACCAGTGAAGCTAGGTCCTCGGTTTTTACGGCCGGTGCGCTGAGAGTGCTGCTGGATGACTCCGGACGCCTCTCTGAAGTCCCGATTGCCGACGTGCCATGGAGAATAAACTCCGCTGCCTTGTAGACTTCATCCACGCTGTACGGAGTATCTGGCTGGTGGTCTACGTCCTTGATCTGGAGACGCCCAAATATCTTCGCCCATAGGTCCGGTTGAAATCCCCGCTGGAACGCTCGTCCCTGCTCGCGAACCGAGATAATGTCGTTCTTCCGAAGGTACCGAGTGACGAGCAAAAAGTCGCGATAAAATGCTGCCAGGTCCGCCAAATTATGAATCCCCACTCTTTGCCTTTCGCCTACTATCCGGTCCATATCTCCAACGCTGTACCGTTGGTCCTCTTTGACGGCTGGGTATAGTGCCAAAATCGCCGCCTTAAATTCCTCGAAGCTCTTGGAGTCGTCTGCAAATTCGGGGACGCCTTTCCAGAGCTCCTCCTTGTACATGGGGACGTATTTTACCACCACTGCCTTTTTTGCTGCCTCGCTAGCCACCGCGTTCGGATGGGCCGCAAAGAGGTCTGTGATGTCCTCGAAATAGCGGAGTAAAGTCCGCGGCTGTTCCGGATCGAAACGCGGTGCATGCTTGTCGTAACGGGACGGGAGGGTGTCTGACATAGTGGTAGAGATTGCGGGTTCCGAATGAATTATTTCCGGAGTACTGAGAATGCTAGGAGGGATTTCTAGGAAACTGGATGCGGTGCAACTGCCGGACGCGAGTTGGTTTGGTAATGGATTAGATGGATGTCGAACTATGGGAGCTCCGGAATCCTGAGTTGACCGACGATGGCTTTGGGTGATTTCTCGAAGAGGGATGTCCGGACTGTCTGGTTCCTCAATGGAGGGAAGACCCTGATTGGCTGGTGCGGCTTCGTCTAAGGCTAATTGCCTAGTGTGGCTACGAAGGCGTCGAGGAGATGGCAGAGTGACGGGAATATAATCGGGATCTTGTACACCAAGGAGGTTCCTAAGGGCAAGGACTGCGGATAATTGGTCGCCTTCATCTAATCAACTATTGGCTTCCTGGAAGAGTCGGAATAACTCTTCCAAAGGACTGGACGTCTTGAGATGGTACCCCCCTCGCGGTGGGCTCCAAAATGATAGGCACTAACACACGACAACGCCAAAGACCAAAAAGAAATAAAACCTAAAACACCCAGCGGTATGGGTGTAGGCGGTCTAAGGCGATTGAAGGGTAATATTTAAGTTCGAAGGGAGGGGGAGAAGTTAGACGCCGTAGGGTAGCCCGTAGGAAAACCTAAAACAAACAAAATCTTGAGGCCTGAAACAAACAGTATAGCGATTCTCCGGAGTATTTATCTCCGAAGTTCGACAGTAACCCGGGTGGGGAGTTCCACTGAACCCGAACAATAGTCTCGTGCCTACAGACGCTTGGTGAATTTTATACTTTAAATCCGGAGCTTACTTGGATCGATATGCGATGGCGGAGTTATCTAGTTTCGACGAGTCCGGCCTATTGGCAAAGCTAGGATTGATTGTAGACGCTAAGTCCGACGCGAAGGGACTCCGAGGGTCGCTGAGACGATAATTCTGGTACGCTGAGAGGGTGAAGTACAAAACTTAGATTTTCCACTACGCTCTA